AAAAAAAAAAAAAAAAAAAAAAAAAAAAAAGCCAATTAAAGAAAAGGTAATAGGTCTTGGTGGGTGTGACTGGGGATTCTGGCACTTGTGGAGCATCTGGCTTTAAGTCACTTGGGATAGAATCCATCACACTTTTCCCTTGTAGAGAGAGGAAGATCTAGAGTCCATCAACACAAACTCTGCTGGATGGTCCCACACATGAGGTCTGAAGAGGAGTATCCTCAAGGCTTTTAGTGAAGCAGGTGGTTAAAATGCAGAGTGTTCATAGGCTGTGCTGATGGCATCCAGAGGGTATTTCCATTCTGGCATCCATAGGGTGTTCCTCTGAGAAGAGTGTCTAAGGGACTTGGCCACCAGAGTTTCACTTGGTTTTTTTCCTGACAGCTTTGGGCTTCTCAGTTTCTGCAAACATTGCCATCATTTGTCTGGATGATGAGTGCTCATGTTCCATGTTAGATCACCTAGTCTCACTGAGGGATGGTGGCTCCACAGGAAAAGAAGCCTTTTCTCCTGGATGAGATAGTCCCAAGTGACAATTTCACTCTGCAGAAAAGATTCACCTCATCTTCAGAAAGAGGTTGAAATTAGGTCCCATGTTGGGTAAAAATACCTTAACCAATGAGATACTGAGTTAAGGCTTTTGATTTTACTTTCTCCTTCTCCTGTTTTTTTTTCTTTTTCAAAGGAGAAATTCTTCAGTACCCAAGTTCTTGATTTGAAAGATCAAAGTGCTGCACTGAGGAGCAAATTCAGACTTATGGGGAGGTGAGGTAAGGTAAAACACCTCCATCCTCATCATTCAGTGGTGGTTTCCTGGTCCTTTTGTTGAGCTGGGGACACTGCAACTCAGTGTGGTGCTTAAAATTACCTTGTCTTAAGATGTGCAGCTCTTCATACCTGTTCACAGCCCAGGGAATACTCCATCCACTCCATAGATTTCTGCTGTGGGGATCAGCCTTTTGGGAGCTCCAGTAAGTCTCAAGGCTGCAGCTGAAGCAGCCCTTCAGCCTCTTTTCAAGAGCCTGACCTAGTAAAGTCAATTAAAGTGTAGCCACGGCCCGTGAGAGCCTTTGGACTCACACAGATATAAAACAGAACTGTAAAAACTGATGCACTGAATAAAATATAATAGCACTCATTCTGGAATAGAAGCTGATTTATTTTAACTTGACTTAATACATTTTCTTATTCTAGCTTAAGAGCATCCAGAAAAGTTCCTCCAGTCAATTTTCAAGTGTCAACAAGCTGTTTTTCTTGGTCTCACACACTCATCTTTGAAATGGGAATAACTTAGTCTCCCATATGGTGTTGAAAGCTACTTCATAGCGGAAATCTCCTGTATATTCATACAGAATTTTAGAGGAGCAGGTGGAAATTATCTGGCAATTAAAGTTAGTGCTATGGAGCTAGGACTTGGAATGACATAGCCAATCTATTCAAAGACCTCATCTCCTACTGTCAGCAGTTGGTTACGTGACTGTTCGTGGTGCTGCTCCTCATGGGGGGGAAAAGCCCTTGAGGAGATGGAAAAAGATTTCAGCTGATTTCTGATAAGTGGGTTTGAGCTGATGGTGACATTTATCTGAAAGGAAATGGTTAAAAGAAGGTCTTTAGCAGCTCTGGTTCTGACATTGTTCTGCAGACTTATTGGGGTATTAATGAAGAAAAGTACCTTCTGTGAATGCAGGAAGTGGCCTCCAATAAAGTTTGAAAATTTCACAGAAAAAGGGACATAAAAAGGTCAAGACTCTCCTCCGACATTTTGTCTAATTTTATTTTGAGCAATAGATTTCTCTACTCACTTAAAATACTCAGGTCTGAGCAATAGCAGAGGATGGTGGCCACCATCCCAAGGGGAAGCGTTCAACACCCTCTTGCAGCAGCAGTCCAAGGTTTATCCCTCACCATTTTTCAGAATTGCTCAATATTTTTGTGACTGTTTGTAGCTGGCGTTAGATCACCAGCTTTTCCTCCATTGCAGAAATTCAAAACTTCAGAGCTTTTTTTTGTTTATTTCTCTGACTTTTTTCAAATTATGCAGAACTCTCCTACTTCCCTCAAAGGGTTTGCTCAAACGTTCTAAACTTGACTGGAAGACCTGAAGAACTACTTTACCTCCAGAGTGCATGGTAGGGAGGTATAGGCATGTGCAAACAGCTGTTTTGGCTGAAAACTGATTTGAAATGTTGTTTCAAATATATATAAAAATGAAACCCAGCACTTCATGGAGACACTGTCAATGGAGAGGAAGATTTGCAGCCTCTTTCTTTTAGACGCTGCTCCTGTTTAAATTTCCCTCTGATGTTAAGGTGAGGAGCATTGTGGCATTGCTGTGAAATCTCTGCTGTGCAGAGAATCCCAGGTGAGAGCAGTTCCCTGTGAAGGAGATGCCCAGGTGACATTCCAGAGCCATTGAGGGCCTGGTGCTCAGGGAGCTTTCTCCATCCTGCTGAGGCCAGGAGGTGAGCAGGGAATTCAGTGCTTGGCATCAGGAGTCTTGGAAGGGGGGTGAGCTCAGCTGCCTTAAAATTAAGCAATCAAAATTAAAAGGAAACACACTTGACCTCAGCTGGAAGTTGGTGCATTTAAAATAGGGGATGGTGCTTTTTTGCAGCCTGCCTAAGAAGTTTGCTAATGCCCCTGATTTATTATAGAGGCTGAGAGAAACAGCTTTGCACAGCAGGATAAGCATGCTTTTGACTTGGTTCCAGGTATGACAATAGCTGAGAGCCATCAAAAGTAGGAAGAAAATAGCTGCCAACAGTTCTGGCTGACTTGGATGATCCTGATTTTCCTCTTGCTCTGTCAAACCCTGCTCACTCAGTCCTTTCTGATGGAATTGAGGACAGAACATCCTTCTGAGAGCAGCTTTTGTTGCTATCAGCATTGAGCTGTGCTTTCCTTGTAGGATATGCAGAGTCCTGGGAAGAGAACTCTCTCCTCTGCCTTCCTGTGCTTCTCCAAGAGGGAGTGCTGGGTGCTGAGCACAGGCAGTGGGTTGCACCTCTGAGTTTCACAGGATGCCAGCAGACAGCAGCAATATTCACAGACAATATTCAGGAAAAAGGTTTGCCACTGGAACTTACTGAAGAAATATTGCCTCCTGCTCCCGACTATGGCAACTGGAATTAGCAGAGCAATCCTTTTCTTCCCTTCTCCCTGAAAAGGACAGTGGGAGGCCAGGTAAGCCTTCACCAAACCTTGGCAAGGAAATACCTGAGCTGGGGGAATTAGCTGGAAAATCATGCTAGAAAATGTGGAGTATCAGACTACAGGATTCTGGTCTGAAATAAAGCCAGAACCAGAGTTTTGGGGGTTTTGTGACACTGGAAAGGAGTATTTTTGCAATGTTTGTGAGGGGGATGATGGGTGGGCTGTGCAGTTGTGGAGTTTTGTTTCACATGCTCACGTCCCATTGCAGCTTCAGCTTTACAGAGCTTGTCTTCTTCTGGGAGAGGTAAAGGACACATACCTGTTTGGATGACCAAACAGGTAAGGTGGTGTATAAAACAAGATTGAAAAATATGACCTTCTCACTGAAAAAATACAAACTTCAGGCATTTGGGCACTTTCCTAGTCCTTTTAGAAAACTTGGAAGCAAATGGTTAAAATTTGGCTAAGAATATTTACCTCTAGCCACAAATTAAACAAAACGTCAATTTTTTTGCCTGTTTTCCCCCATCATGCTCTTTAAACATGCTAAGAAAATAATTTTCCTATGAATTTCCTATGAATTTTCATGCATAATTTGGGTTGCACGCACAGGGGTTTTTTCCTTCTAGTATGTAAAAGAATTGGATTTTGAGCAATGTTGTATGTTTGAAGCTATTACTACGTGTAACTAATGGGTATGAAATTTGAAGAAGGGTGCAGCTCGTTCTTTGAAGGTAAAGATGCCACCATTTGCATAAGTTCAGTTCATGTACTTTGTCAGCTGCAGCTTTTGCTCTGTCCTTTGAATTTCCAGGACACCACCTTTATCTGAAGGCTTATATTGAAACTGAACAAGCAGTCCATGATTTTGAAGGAGAGGATGAGGGCTTTTTCCCTTACCTGAGGAATCTGCTCTGAACTGAAGACCACATCCTTCAAAAGCCTGGAGTGGTGATGTCTGTCTCTCAGAAATCTATGCAGGTGTGTAACTCATTACTTTTGTACCCAAAGGCATTTCTCCATGTATTTCTTCACTAGCACTCAAAAATTCCACACTGGAATGCAATCATATTGCTTAAAGAAACTGGAGATTGCCTTGCCTTGAAATAAATCCTGTCCCCTCGCTGCTAGAAGTGCCTGAAGGCGTGTGCACTCCCTGTCCTTAGAGTCATAAGCTATTTAATCATAAACCTTGGGTAGGGATGAGTAGCCATAAACAACTTGGATACACTAAAAACTGCAGAAGTGGAAAGGATTGAACGTTTCAGGAGGGCAGAAAGGGCCACATCTGCCCTGGTACCCCTGGACATGCTGGAGGGAAGAGGGAGCTGGGAGAGGAGCCCCAGCTGGGGGACGTGCTGCTGCCCCAGGCTGCTGTCCAGCTTCAGCAGGGCCCAGCTCATTTGCTGCTCTTGGAAGGTCTGTGTCTGTTTTGGAGGGGATTTTTCAAGGCAGTGCAGGGTGTGAGGGTGGCTGGTTTTTGCTGTTAAGGAGAGCAGTGTGTTTGTCCACAGCTGCTGACAGCTCTGTCAGGGCAAACGGAGGGGGACAGGGCGTGTGAGTTTGGGGATGAATCCCTTTCCAGACTATCCTGCCTTGGCCAGCAGTTTCTGTAGCTTTATAGCAGGTGTAGAGTGTGTGAAGGGGTGGGGATTTTTTTTCTCCTCCTCCCTAGCAAGATCCATCTGTCCCCAACTCCTTTCCCCTCCAAAATCCTTGTGCTGCACTCACCTGCCCTGCACTAGGGCACTTTGCAGCCCCTTACTTTTTCTTCCTCCACACCTTTCCAAGGGCTCTCAAGTTTGGGACATAGGTCTTCTCTTTTTTCCCCCTCCCCTCCTCTCCTGTGGTGGATCCATCCCAGTTCAGACCTGGAGCTTGGGGTGGCACTGAGGTGGGCACAAGGAGATTGAACTCACGGCGCTGTGGGTCAGCTTGGGCTGACAAATCTGAATCTGAAATCACACTGCACTGTGCTGGCTGGCAGGGAAGGGGGGACAGGTGATAAATGAGTCCCAAAAATTCTGTTCTGAGTGCACAGTAAGTGCCACAGGGCTGCAGAGAGATCTGAAAACACAACCACTGGGTCCATGCAAGCTGTCTGTCCCGAGGCTGGGAGCAGCTCCTCCCTCTCTGGCAGCCCAGAAGCAGCTGGGGAAGATGGAGTAGTCACAGTTATTATTTTATGGCACATCTGTAAAACTCCTGTGGGAACAGACAAGCAGGCTGCCCAGCTTTTCACCCATCAGTGCTTTTAAAAACACAACATCCTCTTCTGAGGCCCCAGCAAAAGGGTCTGCACACCTTTTCAGGTGCTTGCCATTGGTCTTGAAGATGCCAATTGGCAGCAAGTGAGGAGATTTTGTTTTTCCTGAGGTTGGAAGTGTTGTGTCAACTTTAAATTAAGACAGGTTTTGTCTGGGCGGTATCTGACACGCAGCTTGCCACTTGCTAAATCTGAAATTAAGATATTTGGACCAAAACAAAATGCCCTTATATTAAGATATTTTAGCTCTGTTGTCTTCTGTAGGATACTGAATAGAAGCTGCTATTTAAAGGTATTTTAGTGGGAAGCATCCATGGATGCTGATGGCAGCTCTCTCCACTATCTGCTTATAGGATGCAGACATTCTTCTTCAGCTTCTAGACACTACATCTGTTTGTTAAAAAGACTGGGTTTTTCTCAAGCCTTTTCAGTCTGACTCACATTGCCCAGGGATCATGGTGCAAATGCTGCTGCTCTTGTGCAAGATCAGTGCAGGCAGGCCATGTGGTCTGGCTGTGCTCTCAGCTGAGTGGTCACACTGCTCCTCCCTGAGTGTCACTGTCTCATGGCAGAGGTGCATTAGGCTCCTTTGGGTATTGGTGCTGGCAGTCCGTGTTACCCAATGGCCACAAGGTTTGTGCAGGAGTGTTTCTTTGATATCTAACCACACTTTTAAGGAGAGTTGTAAGGAGAGGGCTTGCAGTTCATGCTTGATGTTTGCTTATTTTCAAATGCAACACTTCAGCACGAAGAGGAGACCCTTAATATGGAAAAAGTCAAATTCCAGTGAATGCAACAGTGGATCTGGCCCAGATTTCTGGCCAGAAACTCTGATCAGAGTGAAGTAGCAATCCTGAAGTTCCTTCTCTCCAATTAGGAAGATGTCAGGGCCAAGCAGCAGTCTGGCAAACTTAGGGATGTTTTTATTAAACAGCTTTGGGATGCAGAACTATTTACACTGACCTTGTTTTTCAACTCTTCAGAGGGCCAAGGAGGAAGCTGGAGGTTATGTAGGAAATAATCCTCCTTCATTATATTGCTTCCCATCTGTTGGGTTAGTTTTTAGGGTTTATATGTATTCATCTCTTAGGGAGCACTGGGAATTTCACAGGTAGGAAACTTTATCAGGGAAGTATCTCAGAGCACTTCTGTGTGGCATGGACAGGAGCTCAGTGCCAGGTGAGGGGTTCCTGGGGGGCCAGCAAGCTCACCCCAGTCCTGTGCTGTACCACACAGCCTGGGTGAATGGGGCAGGAGGGTGAAGTGGGGCCTCAGGTCCATGTGCAGGGAAGTCAAAGCCTTTGTGCTGCATGAGACAGGAGAGGTGAGCTGAGTTCTCTCCTCAGTGTCATGGTGATAGCTTCCCAAAACCATCATCTGCACTTGTGATTATCTGCAGTGCTGGAGAGGATGACAGGCAGTCAGAGCTCTGGTGGTGTCACCAGTCCTCAGCCAGGACAGAGGGTACAATTTCCCCAAGCACTTGAGAGACTCCTCATTTCCACTTCAATCCTATGATAGCTCAAGGGGATGTTTCCCATTTTCCTTTTTGGTGCCCAGTAAAATGGTCAGTGAGTTAAAGCAGGAGCACGCACCACATCTGAAATGCAGAGTGCCACATGTCCACAGCCACAAAGGGCTGTGAGTCAGCTCCTGACAGGATCAGGTGGGCAGAAGGCTGTGAGGAGCAACCTGGGCTCCCAAATCTGCTGTGGCACTAAGCAGGATGACTTGCAAGAGCTGAGGTGATGCCAGGCTTGACAAGCAAGCACCTGGTGTTTTGTGTGTGCTTTAATGGAACTATTTATAACCTTTTGGAAAATGTAATTAAAAGTGAAATCACCCATTTGACTTATGGTCCCATCTAATTCAAGTGGGAGAAGAATTTCCAGGAGAAAAGTGCTGCGGTGAGTGCAGGTGGGATCCAGTGAAACGGGATAAATGACACTGGCTGCAGGAAATGCTTGGAATGGTTTCCTGTCACATCCAGCATGCTTCTCCTCATTGCCACCCCCAGTGCATGGAGGCAGGGCTAGGGTAGTGCTGCACTCAGGATGTGATCCTTGGGCCATTCTTGGAGCTGGCAAACATGTTTTTGCCACCCTTCTGCTCAAGGGACAGTGACCTGTGTGTGCTGCAGGGTTCTTGACCTCTTTTATTGAAGGACCTTGAAATGAAGGCAGTGCTGAGTCCTTTAGCAGTAGACTGATGTGAGTTAGGAAATAGCCTCATAAAAGCAAAAAATCATATGCATCCCATTCTGTAGTATTCCCTACTCAAATTGGAATACATTATAGGAGTTCAAAGAAACATGGTGTGGAGCCATGGAAACTATGTTCATCAGCCTTTTCCTAAACAGACTTTGGCTATCTGGGCACAAATGCCATGGTCTTACAACAGGGGAACTGGGCATCACTAGGACAAACTAATTTTCATTTCAGAATTGCCCTCACATGGTTTTTTCCTGTGAGGCTCTGCCAGTGCCTGGTGTTTCACCTAACACCTGGCTCCAGATAATTTATGGAGCCTGGAAGACTTCTGCTCCCATTTGGAAAGCTTGGGTTTGTTCAGGTGGCTGCAGGGTCACTTGGCACGAGTGGAAACCTTGCTAAAGCAGGAGACAAGTCACCTCCCTTGCCTGGTTCATGAGTTTCAAGGCAGTGTTGGACTCGCTGAGGAACAAGGGGTTGTTAGCTCTTACAGGGAGTTATTCCATTCTGTGCCCATCTCCTCAGAGCCAAAGCAGCCACGGCACCTCATCCTCCAGTACCAAGCCCTGTTGAGTCTTTCCCATGGCTCTTCCCAGTTCTCCATGGCCAGGCTGCTCCAGGCTAAAGCAAAGCCTGGAAGGAGCGTGAGGGAGGGCTCTGCAAAGGCGCCGTGGCGGAGCAGGGAGAGCTTTCCTTGTGCTTGCTGCAGAGCTGGGCTCCTGGCACCCCCTCCATGAACCCCTGCTCTCACACCTGTTCTCGCTCAGGAGACACTTCTTGCACCTCCCACAAGTGCACATGCTTGGGCTCCAAGAGCCTCCCTGGATTTCGGACCTTCGTGTGATCAGAATGAATTAGACTTGGCTGAGGGATGGGATTATTGCAGACCTGTCACTTCACAGTATGTTCCTGTTACAGCCCACACTCGTGTCTGCTAGTATTTTAAAGTAAACTTTAATTAGCATTTTCCCAAGAGTGTGAATAAATTGTTTTATTGTTGTTTTGGTGTTGGTTTTGTTTTAAGGAAAAGAGTGTTTACTCACCAAGGACGTGTTTCCAAACTCTCCATCCGCACCAGTGCTGGTTTTTATTGTATCTCTGGAAAGCTCTCTGTAGGGCTGGTGCTGGGAGCAGGGCTCCTTAGTGGTGGGGTAAGATGTGCCCTGGAGGCCCATGCAAGTGCTGGAGTGTTTCTGAGTCGTGTTGGAGCAATGCTGTCAGACTCCTGATGGCCATGTGGCACACGTTTACAGCAGACTATTTCAGGAGAGTTTTTCCAATCTAAGTAAAGCTGTGTCTGCCATGGTTTGGTTACCTGTGGGCTCAGCTTGGGCTCAGTGACCTCAAAAGTCCTGATGAACTCCTGACTAACAGAATCCAGCAGCACTGAGCAGATCTCCTCTTATTGTAAATAATACCTGAGATGCTCTTTGCAGGGGATGTTGAGCAGGTTTTCCAGCCCTCAGTCCAGGAAAGCTGAAGCAGGTGCCTGATGTGCTCCAGAG